AATGTATGTATCACTATATGCAAGTACATGGTGAGAAAATTGCGACACACATTAAGTAAATTCAAAGATTATTATTAGAATAAGTCAGTAACGGTCATTTTCAATTGTAGAAAGTCTTCAATTAATTTTTCCTCATAATCATAGACCAGTACCTTACCTGGATAGTCGAGAGATGTAGGTATGAAGCCTTCTTCATTTTTGCTCTTTTTTCCCCCTCAGGACTATCCAATATCTGAATGACACGTTTCTTCTTTGTTCCTTCCTTTGCTTGATCTAGACGCATATAAGGTGAAGTAACAGAGGGTCCATCCTTCCTCATCCTCTTTTTGACAACCCGTTTGATAGATGGGGTTTCTCTCTTATTCTCATCACCACCGTCCTCTTTTTGAGAAACATCTCTATGAAGTTGAAATGCATATAATTAACAAAGAGTAATACATGAGTTATACGAAAAGTATAAAAAGTAAAATTACAAGAGAATTGAAAAAAAAATAAACTCACCAAGCTTCTTCTAAAATTATCATGTCTCTTGGGCGCATCAAAACGTCATTATCAATATCGGCTTCCTCAGTTTCTTCCAAATTCTCATATTCATTAGCTTCCATATCCTCTTCGCTTTTATTTTCAAATTTTACATTTCTGTCATCCTCTTTCTCCTTGTTTTGTTTTTTTGCATCTATCATTATGCTCTTCTAATGCTCGTAATTCTGTAGTGAGCTCGTTCAACTCGTACGTCTTCTCCGCAATTAAGGCAATTAATTCAGCTTTCCTTGATTCCTATAAGACAAAAAATACAAGTATTAGTACTTATACTATAGTTGCAGACACAGAACATAAAAAATGAGACATAAAATAATGAACTATGAGAGCAAAGATATGTACAAATACTCTTGGCGATGCCCTATGAGTAGGAGGAGTATTCTCTTCGCCATTATCAGTAAGAAACTTCGGATCTCTATATAATTTGTTCATAGTAGTTCTCCTCCACTTTCCGGTCTTCTTCACACAAAAGAGTGGCGGTAACCTTTCAATATTTGAAGTGTACTCTAATTCCCCTACTTTTTCATAAAACCAAACCTACAATATAGAAACTATACATTAGCATGTGCATAACAAATAATCATTATCAAATTGAAAAGATATACAAAATAATGTTAATGTAACTCACCAGTAAAATGGAGGAAAAACCACCCATGTACCCAGCATTTGAGCGCTGACATAATCCCCTCATACTAAGAGACTTCTTTGCTTTATTCATCTCTTTGCAAAGAAAAGTAAATACCGCATGACACCAATTATATTTCTTCAAAGTTGATAACTGCTCCGCGTATCTAAATGCCCATAAGGGACATGTCTTACATGTTCGCGGACATAATATGAAGCCGATAATGAAAGCCACAATAAGTTTCACACATATTATAGGGTCTTCATTATTCATATCTATAATCATCTTAGCCATTCTATCGCGCTTCCCCCAAATCACCGTATTTTTTTTCTCATCGGATTTCTTCTTGCCTTTAGAGCTATTACTCTTCTTCTCCTTGAGTGTCTTATAATTCTTTACAAAATTGGTGTAGATTGTATTAGACGCTGCCCCACTCATTTTTATCAAAATTCCTTCCTTTGGCAAATCGATAATTCGGTGAATATCATCTATACCAAACATATGATTTTTATTCTCAATCATGAATGAGCATGTATCGGAATTAAAGTTTTGAATCAAGCAATCAATTGCTATTTGCTCATTGCTCAAGGATGTGGGTAACTTGAGAAAGTTGTGAAAAAGCGTCGTCTCTAGAGCTTTTATGTGTCTTTCGTCCAATATTATTCGCTTATCAATTAAATCTCGAAAATAACACAAATTGGACGGAATTCTCAATTGTGTTATCATAGCCCTACAAGAAAATTATAATTCAGTTATAGTTAAAAATTAAATATATTTGGGCAAATTAAGACGCATATTAACACAAACAATTAACTTAAAAATTAAATAGATACTCGATATGACAAGAATAACATTAACACAAATATTATCTCATATGGGGTTTCAATAGATACTCGATATGACAAGAATAACATTAACACAAATATTATCTCATATGGGGTTTCTATATCTAAACAAACAACTACATAATACATAAAATAACATTAACACAAATATTATCTCATATGGGGTTTCTATATCTAAACAAACAACTACATAATACATAATAGATTTGGAGAGGGGAACAAAACATGCAAGAGGATATATCTCATCAAGCAATGACTTGTTGACACAGACATCAGTAGGCAGAGACAACAATTTCAACTTTCGACGCATATTAAAAAACCAATATATCTCATACAAAAATTTACTTACGACGTAAGAGGATTATTGCATTTAGAAGAGGAAGGCTTAGATTTTGAAGAAATCGAAGACGTTGACGCTTTCAATTTGTTCGAAGTCATGAGGGTTGATGAAGGGGTCGAAGCGAGCTCCAAACGAGGGAATGTCGAGGGCGAGTGCGAGCTACAGCGGCGACGCTGAGCGGGGGAGGATGGCCTGAGGGCTGACCTTGATATCCAATTTAACAATAATCCAATCTTAAAGTCTAAACTAAAAATTAATTCATTTAACAATAATCCAAGTTAATGAATTTGAGGTGGTGAGGGCTGACCTTGAGCGGGGCCTGAGCGGCGACGTGAACCGACGCTGAAGAGGTCGAACAATTGGAGGATGTGGGCGGATGTGGAGCGGAGGTCTGCGGTGGTATGAACGGTGGTCTGCGGTGGTGAGAGAGGTCTGAGCGGAGGTCTGCGGTGGTGAGCGAGGTCTGAACGGAGGTCTGCGGAGCGAGGAGACGAAGAAGAAGAAGATGACGTGAACCGACGCTGATGTGGGCGGACATGAACCGACGCTAAAGAGGTGGTGAGCGAGGAGACGAAGAAGTGTTAGACCCTAGAGGGGGGGTGATTAGGGTCTTATGCTAATCTAATCCGATTAAATGCTAATTAAAATATATTAACAAGTTATCCTAGCAAGTATGAAATACAACAAAGTATATGAGCTAGGATAAGCAATATGAACAACAAGATATATCCTAACAAAGAGATATAGGCAATGTATGTGCAATGATATATAAACTCAAGGGTAAACAATCTAAACTAGATAGTGGGCAATATAATCAACAAGCAATATACAAAGGCGATATAAGATATGAACATAAAAGGAAGTGCGCCAATGTAATCACAAACAAACAATATGATTACGGAGTTCGGTCCCCACGACCTACGTCTCTGCTCCTCAACTCGAGGAGATCTCCACTATCACAACCGGGTTTTCTACGTTCACCCGAATAACGTTTATACCTTACAATACAATCACTATGCAATCACACCTCACACACTAAGTGTTGGTCCTAGCCCGTGTCATCCTCCTCAAGTGCTCGGTTACAACCTCTCCCTAGGCACGTCAACCGACGCCACTCCTCTTGGATTCGACCCCGTCTCTCACCACACACTTCTCTCGGTGTACAAGTATATTACAAGTGAATCCTTACAATTAGGCTCAATACAAAGTGTTTGTTCTCTACAATGAATGAGAACGAATTATAAGCTCACTCTCTAAGTTACACAATCCCATAACCCAATTATACTATGAATGTAAATACTATAAGCTCAATGGTTGTGTGTATACAAAGAGATAAATAAAATCAATTAAACTAAACTCAATATAAATCTAGCTTATGAAAATTTTAATCAAAATAATAAATTGCTAGATGAGTTTAGAAACACTTCTCTAAAGATGACAAGAGAGTGGGAGAAGAGTGAATGCTTAAACACCAAAGGATGGTCTCCACTTGCTCTTGTAAAATTTGCTTCACAAACAAAACTCTTAAACACTCTTTTAAACAAACACAAAACACCCTTAAACTTGTTTAAACAATTCTCTTGGTTAAGTTGAAGGAGATGGAGCTTTCGGTCGACCGGACCGGTCGACCGACAGACTCTCTGTCGCCCAGTGAACACGAGAACTCAGGTTCGGTCGACCGGTTTGGTCAACCGAAAACTGACATATTCAAAACTGTTTTGCTTATTTTAAAACGCTGTTTAAAAATATCAAATAAATTCCAAAAAATGTAAAACTTTGGGGAATGATTGTAGACATGATAATAAACATGCTACAATGACTGGTTATCAAAAAGGACTTCCCAAATGAAAAATATCATCATTTTACAAAATAGTCCAAAACATGAAAATATGAGATACTTGAATTTTGATGTTTTGACATAAACCAACTTTTGAAACTTTGTGAAATGTTTTTATAGACTTAGTAAAACATGTATAAACTGATATTGAAGTCTATAAACTAAGAATACAATATTTTCACAAAATTGCATATTCTATGCAATGTTTTCAAAAACACAATAGTAAATATGAAATATGTGATTTCATATTATAAACATGAAAACTCAAAAATTATGTATGTATATATATAACTATATATATGCATAGAAACCAAAACTTATGTATATATATATAACTATATATATATATGAAGAAACCAATAAATGTGTGTGTATAGATATTGAGCTTAGAGTATATAACACACATAATATAAAATCTAAAACTACATTACCCAAGCAATCTTGATCTTCAATTAAGCTTGACTTGGTACACTTGCGGATGAAGCTTGAACTTGATCTTTAACTTGAAATGTATAAGCTTCAACCCGACATTCCGCCAACCTCCTTTGGATATCATCGTTGAAGCGCTATCCATCCAACCTCCAACTACGTTTTTTTTTTGGTAAATGAGAAATTTTATTCATCACCAAATTGGAAAAATGTTAGTACATCATGATCTCATCATATGAGTGAGATAACAAAACCTGAATCTAAAGCTCAAAATAACCTGAGCTTACAATTAGCAAAGAGTTAAACATACTCTATTTCCCTCCGCCAGGGTCCTTCAAAGCTTACTTTCCTCTCAAAAACTCAGCAATATTGGATGCTGCTCTTTTACAGAGAGAGGAGCCATACTCTATCTTCCTCCAAAATAGAATTATTTAGGTTGTTGATCAATATGTCCATCTTGATATTATTAGCCAATTGCTCAACACCTTTGGTCTTAGATTGGAAAATTCTTGCATTCCTTTCACACCAAATTCTGTAGATAGCGGCAGATAAAGCCATTCTTTTAATGCCATGTTTAAAGCTATTTCCTCTCAGTCTGGTGCAGAACCAGTTCATAAGGAGATTCCAGTCACAAGATTTCCAAGAGAATTGAAGCCAATCCATTATATTATTCCATATCTCCCTAGAGAAGTTGCAATCAAAGAAGAGATGATCACGGCTCTCTAAATTACCACCTGAGCATAAGCAGCAAACATTTTCATTTATAATGCCTCTTCTCAACAACCTGTCCTGAGTGAGTAATTTGTTTTGGACAGCTAACCAGCATATAAATGCATGCTTTGGGTAGCATCTCTTATCCCACACAGTAATATGCCATGGAACTGCATATGTTACAGGGGATATGGCATGATATACTGCAGATACTTGTAGTTTGGAGTTGATTGTACAGGAATTTAGAAGTTGTATTAGATTCTCCACTCCTCCACAGTATTGAACAGCTTTATCTCTGGCTTTCAGTAACTGTTTTCACATCCAGGAATCATCAGATTTTACACTCACATTCCAGATATCTCCACGTCTTAAATAGGTCCCATGAACCCATCTGATCCAGTGGGACTCTTTATTGATATGGAAATGCCATAGTAATTTTAGAGCAGCTGCCTGGTTCCAAGTAGAGACTGAGTATACTCCTAACCCACCTTTCTTCTTTCCCTGACATACCCTTGCCCAGGAGACTAAAGGAGTCCCGGAAGAGTAACCAGAGTTTCCCCATAAGAAAAGTCTGCATAATTCATCAATTTTACGAGATACCTTGATTGGTAAGATATAATTTGAGGTCCAATATATTTGTATGCCCAAAATGACACTCTTTATGACTTGAAGTCTGCCTGCATAGGTGAGATTTTTATTCTTGTTCCATGTCTGAAATTGATCAGTTACTTTGCTGATGAGTGAGGTACAGTCTTCATAAGTGAGTCTTTTGCAAATTAATGGGACTCCCAGATATCTAATAGGAAGAGTGCCCTCGGAGAAATTTAAGAGATGCATAATATTGCCTTTGACTGTGTCATCAACACCACCAAAATAGATAGAGCACTTATCCTGATTAGCTTCAAGCCCAGAAATCTTGCTGAATTTTTGAAAGATTTGAAGTATCTTCTGCACAGAATTTAGATCCCCATAGCTGAATAAAAGCAGGTCATCAGCAAAAATCAAATGGGTGATTTTGAGTTTGCTACATTTGGGGTGATATTTGAAGTCCCTGTCATTTCTCAGCATGTCTAAATTCCTGGAAAGGTATTCCTTACCCAATATGAAGAGATAAGGAGAAAGAGGGTCTCATTGTCTCAAGCCTCTCTCACCCTTGAAGTATCCATGGAGGGATCCATTGAGGGATATGGAGAATTTTGGATTAGTTATACAAGCCATGACCCAAGTAATCAACAGTTCAGGAAACCCCAGCCCCTTAAGCATTTCTTGAATGAACTTCCAACTGATAGTGTCAAAAGCCTTTTTAATATCTATGTTTAGCATGAATCTGGGGGAAATATGCTTCCTATTATATCCTTTAACTAGATCATGTGCTAACAAGATGTTACTTGTTATATGCCTTCCTTTAATAAATGAATTTTGTGCTTCATTCACCAGAAATCCCATGACAGATTTGATCCTGTTGGCTAAGATTTTAGAAATGATCTTGTATAGGCAATTGCAACAAGAAATGGGCCTGAAATCTGAGGGAGTTTTGGGACACTTCACTTTGGGGATAAGTGTTAAGGAGGTTGAGTTTACCACACCCAGCAATTTTCCTGTTTTGAAAAAATCCTCAATGGCGAGAGTGACATCATCACCTATTATTGACCATGTAGATTTGAAGAATAAGGCCCCAAAACCATCTGGACCTGGGGATTTATTATCATCCATAGAGAATAGTGCATCTTTGATTTCATCTTTGGATACTGATTTTGATAGTAAGCTGGCCTGTGATACAGACAGACAGGGGCCAGAATTAATAACCCTTGTATCTGGTGTTATTGTATCAATTGTAACTCCCATGAGATTTTTGTAATAGGACACCAATTCCCTTGCAATTTCCTCCTCCTCAGTTAATCTTTGACCCTGACAGTTATAAAGGACCATTATTTTGTTGTAATGCCTGGAGGATTTGATCACTGAGTGGAAGATTTCAGTACTTCTATCTCCTTTTATACTCCAAGCAATCTTTGCTTTTTGCTGATAAAAGAACATTTCACAATCAAGGAGTTTGTTATAAAGCATCATACATTAAGGGTATGCTTGGAGATTTTTTTGGACCTCTTCTAGAGAATGTTTTGCTCTTTGAACTTGTTCACTTATGTTACTGAAATGCCTCTTGTTGAGATCTTTTAATGCACCTCTAAGATGTTTCAGTTTTGTGCATACTGAATACATTTTGTAACCTGAAATTTCAGATTGCCGGATTTCTGAAACAGTAGGTATGAACTTCTCATGCTTTGTCCACATATTAAAGAACTTAAAAGGTCTTTTACCTTGGACATTATCCTCAAAAATAGAGATCAGAGCAGGAGAGTGGTCTGAGAAGCTAGGTAGTAGGTATTCCACTTGGCTAGAACAAAACATGTGTAACCAAGAGTCATTCACCAAAGTTCTGTCCAATCTACTCCAAATTCTAGAGTTTGCATCTTGTTTGTTGTTCCATGTGTAAAACATCCAGTAGTATTAAGGTGATTGAGCTGACAGTCATATATAAAATCTCTGAAATCACTAAAATCAGCCTCTGAAAGCAATGTACCTCCAATTTTCTCTTCATTGTTGATAACTGAGTTAAAATCCCCACTTAGGAGCCATGGAGAATTACCAATAGCTTGGAATACATCCTTCAGCTCTGACCATAAACTCCTTCTGGCACTTATTTGATTAAACCCATACACTGCTGAGAAGTAGCTCTCAAATCTTTCATCCAATGATTTGGCCTTACAAGTGATATGTTGAGCTGATAATACTTCAACTTTAATATCCGGAATATTGGGATCCCACATAATAATAATCCTTGCTTTTCCAGCAAAATTTATATTTGATATCCAACTCCAGTTTTTTGCTATTTTCCTGGCAATAATAGGCAAATTGTTATCATTAATCTTTGTTTCTAGTATAGCTTGACAAGAAATGTGATATTGAGATATATGGTTTTTCACTAAAAGTTGCTTAGAGGATTTGTTCAATCCCCTAACATTCCAAAAGGAGAAATTCATCCTAACTGCTTCCCTCTATCAATAGAGGGATTATTATCCAGAACATCCAGGAGAGATAGAGAATTATCAATCCCAATAGGTTGCTTTTGAGCCTTCCTTTGGATTTTCACCCAGGGACCCTCAGATTGGTGTAGGGATGTTCCACCACTTCCCTGTTGTAAAACGTGCACAGCATGCACAGCCCCTGAATTCAGGTAGGATGAACATTCACCTTTAGTTAGCATGCCTCCACTTGACTTGAGATTCACATATATAGGATTTGATAATAGTAGTTGCAAATGATCAGTTTGTACAACACCTGAGCAAGATCTGTTTCCTTCCTGTCTCTGCAAGTTTATTGTGCCCCCACCTGCAGTCAGGTGCCTTTCTTGACTATGAGTATACATAGCCTCTAAACTAACATGTTTACCAGATCCCTTAGCTTGTTTATGGACTGAAGTCTCATAATTCACCAGGTTAGCATGTGCAACATGCACAGGAGATTTGATACCATAGCCCTTATCTAGCAAGTCCTCATCAATAGCCAGACTCTGAGAAACAGGCTTATCATACTCAGAATTCATCTGTGCTTTATTATCAACTTTTTGCTTTGGAATCCATTTTTGGACTTTGGGATGTTTTTTACAAAAGTTTGAATCATGTCCTATAACTTTGCACCAGTCACACCATCTAGGCTTATATTCATAAATCACCCTTTGTTTATATTTATTTCCATCAGGTCCTTTTATGGTGATATGGTCAGGGAGAGGACATGGCAATTTCACCTCCACCAATACCCTAGCATATGCCAAACGTTGTTTATTTGCAGTAAGCTTGTCTGTTGCAATAGGCTTTCCTATCATACTAGCAATTTTGCTAATTCCTTTAGCATTCCACAAATTAAGCCTTAGAGCTGGTAATTGAATCCACAGAGGATAAATGCATTCATCTGACTTACCAATTTCCTCCCCAATAGTCCAAGGTTTCAACAGAAATGGTCGTGAGCCAAAGAACCAAGGACCCCTACCTAAGATTTCATTCATATCATCTTTACTTTTGAATTTGAACAGAAATAATCCTGGTTTGAGAAGGCAAATATCAGGTATAGGAGACCAAAGCTTATGAACATAGCTCTCCATAGCCTTAAATCTAATATTAACTCCCAAAACCTGGCCAATTAAGGAGAAATTCCACATAGAAACTCCTTCATTCCATTCCTCATCATTGAAGATAACAATATCTTTATCTTCTGAAGGCAAATAATCCAGATTCATTCCATTCCCTGCCTTCCTGTTGTCAGCAAATAAACTAGACCAACTTTTTGTGACATTCTCTGTAGATGAATTGGGCGCTAGTTTATCATCTGAGGCAGATTTTGTAGATTCCTCACGATTCAAGGGGGGGAAATTTGAGCCATTTGGTTCAAGAAAATCAAGATCTGCTTTCTGAACCAAAGAAACCCTAGTAACTGACTCCTTAGGGACATTAATCCCCTCATTAACCAGTTTTGAGTGTTGAGAATAAGAAACAGAGGAATCATTCTCCATCTCGGATTCTTGAGCCCAAGAAATCCTAGCTGAATTATTCACGCCATTAAGAGGAGAGAGAGACTTACAGAGCTTACGATCCAAAGCAAGGCCTCCTGACCTCATAGATCCAGCAACAAGATCCATCCTCGAGCTTGAATCAAGAACTCCAACATGATCCATCCTCGAGCTTGAATCAAGAACTCCTAGTCTCAGAGCATCAACATGATCCATCCTCGAGCTTGAATCAAGAACTCCTAGTCTCAGAGAATCATCAACATGATCCATCCTAGAGCTTGAAGCAAGAATTTCCTCCATCGATCTTGAAATCCTATTCCCTTTTGGACCAGTTGATCCCATCACAGATATATCATCATCGTCGATTGATCTAGGGCCAGAGATATATCCATCATCATCATCGTTGGATTGATCATCCAAGGCCTTTGAACTTGAATTCGAAGCTCCTAATCCAATGTTCAGAAGCTTGATTCCTCTGATCTTCTTCTTCCTCGCCATTAGAATCTCAGCGGGGGAGCAAGTTAGCAGAGGAATCGCCTGCTAACTTGCGCCATGTAACCGCCCAACCGTTTGTACACAGATTTATTCCAATAACTCTCCCTTATTTTGCACTTACAAACCCTCACTTGTACCTCCAACTACGTTGTTTGTCTATAATAAATAAGAAAACACAAATACTAGACAAACAACATTAGTGGTAAATTGTTTGTTAAACATCATCAAAACAAGAAGGCCAACAAGAAGAAGATGACGTGGATCGCCGTCTGAGCGGAGCGAAGCGAGGAGCGGTGGTGAGCGAGGTCTGAGCGGAGGTCTGCGCGCGGTGGTCTGAGCGGAGGTCTGAGCGGATGTGGGCGGATGCTGAAGAGGTTTGAGCGGAGGTCTGCGGTGGTGAGCGAGGAGACGAAGAAGAAGATGACGATTTTTTGAGCGAGAAGTCGAGCAGAGGTTGAGGGCGAACTTGTTTTCCGATCGGGTTTTTTTTTCTTTTTTTTTTTGGGCTAAACGCGGTCACCAATAGGGTGTTTATTTGGTAATTTGTTTTTTCTTTTTTTTGGGAATTATTTTAAATCAATGGCTGAGATGATTTTGGGGTTTTTGAGATCAATGGCTGAGATTGCGCATCCTTAGGCTACACCTAGGGAGTCACCTTAGATTCACTTTACCCTATATATATATATATATATATATATAGGGATTTCTTCGGATGCGAAAAGTTTTCGCACAGCAACGTGCGAAAACGAAGATTCGTTGAGCTGGATGCGCTGCTTTGGGCTTTTTTGAAAAAAAGCCAACGATTCTTAATAAAACCCCTCTCTCTCTCGTCCCCAACCCAACTCACTCTCAGGTCCCCAAATTGAAGAATCCCCTCTCCCCCCTCCGAAACCCTCCCTCCCCCCTCTCGCCGTCGACCTCCACCTCCGCCTTCAGCTTTCCTCTTCCGCGATCTCGCGGTGGAGCTCCTCCTCTCACGGTCAAAAGTCACCGTTCTCCTCTCCCGAAT